TGATACAGCGTGGACCACGAAACTCTCCCTCTTTCTGACCAAACCTTCCAACAAACCGACCGGAGGTCTCATACACTACAATACAATCACCCCTCAAATCAGACACATACACATACTTGTTAGCAATATGAAGACCTGATGGCCCACGCAGTTTTCCCTCTCCTTCCTGACCAAATACTTGTATGAATTGGCCACTGGTGTCCATTACTTGCACTCTCCCTATTACTATACTCAGCTACATACATGTTCCCGGCAGTGTCAAATTTGACATCATGTGGTGCATTGAATTGACTTCTTCCTTTGCCATGTGAGCCAATGGATTGGACAAAGTTCAAGTCGAGGTCAAACACCTGAATGCGATGGTTATCACGATCACACACATACACTTGATTGTCATACAGTGTTACTCCACATGGTTCATAAAACTCCCCCTCCTTACTGCCCCTCCGACCAATACATATGATCAGTTCACCACTGCTAGTGAACTTCTGCAGCTTGTGCTGACTGCACACATAAATATTGTCAGTATCATCAGTTGCTATGCCTGCAGGGTATTCCATCTGATCTGGACTGTCACCACATGATCCAAATGTTCGAATTTTCTGTCCTCTGATGTCAAAGATAGACACTCCATGACCTAAACATTCACTGACAATCATCTCCTGATGACTGTTGAAGGCAATGCCATATGGACGAGCCAATCCAGTCACAGTCCTCACTGGGTGGCCTAGTTGTCTGGGGTCAGGGTACACGGTCACAGTGAAGGGGCTGCCATTGATTTCTCTGTCGTTGACTTGAACATGGAGTTTGTGTTGGCCTCGACTGACTGGTGTGTACGACACCTCGTATTGGGAGGGAGACGTCATGGCAACCGATACACGTGATTCATTGGGCCACTTTGTTGTAGTTCTTGTGGCTTTTGAAACGAGCTCAAGTTGTGCGGTGACATTCAGTGGAAGTGAGTATGGTCTACCACTAGAGTCAGTTAGTTGGACTAGGACGTGTGTTGGTTGGTTGACTGTGGCTGATGTTAGACCAGGTCCACTGACCTGACATGTGTAGGATGCTGACTGCTGGGACAGAGAGAAAGGGAAGAAATGAAAAAGAGAAATGGGTAATATGGTGGGCATTAATAAGAGTATACACACTAGTATAGCTACAGACATTCATAATACACTATTAAAGATATTCATAGTCTGTTATTATGAGTTAATATTCATAGCATACCTTTTCCCCCAGTTGCTGCTGAAGCAGAGCTATCTCCCTGTCTGTGGCCAGCACTAACTCAGTCTCCTGCAGTCAGGAGGACCTCTAGTCACAACACACAACTCCACACACTAGACTAACTCTCTGTCTCATCTCCTGAATCTGCTGCTGCTCTCTCCAGATAGTCTCCTCTGCCCTCACCACCTCTGCTTTCTTTCTTGTCAGCTCTGCTTTATTTCTCGTCAGCTCTGTCCTCTGCGGAAACCAAGAGGGAGAATGTTAGATGCTTTTGATAAAAAAATATTATTACCTTTCTTGTCAACTGCTGCTGTATTATCTGCTTCTCCCTCTCACTTGTTTGGAACTGTTCCTCCTGATGAACATTCAATGGAAAATCTAATCATGACTTCATAACACTCAGTTGATTCTGCTGAATGCTAAACACAATTTAACGGAATGAACCTTTTGTGTCAATTGTCGCTGAGTTTCAGCCAAGTCAACTTCCTTTCTTGTCAGCTCTTGTCTGAGTGTCTGCTTCTCCCTCTCAGTTTCCTGGTCCTACAATACCCGCATACTAAAAGATATTCCAATACTGTACTACCTTACGCATCATGACTTTATAAAAACATGCTAAATGCTCAACACAAGTTTTATTTTCAATACACAACCTTTTGTGTCAATTGTCGTTGAGTTTTAGCCAAGTCAACTTCCTTCCTTATCAGCTCTTGTCTGAGTGTCTGCTTCTCCCTCTCAGTTTCCTGGTCCTACAATACCCGCATACTAAAAGATATTCCAATACTGTACTACCTTACGCATCATGACTTTATAAAAACATGCTAAATGCTCAACACAAGTTTTATTTTCAATACACAACCTTTTGTATCAACTGTTGCCGAGTTTCAGCCAAGTCAACTTCCTTTCTTGTCAGCTCTTGTCTGAGTGTCTGCTTCTCCCTCTCAGTTTCCTGGTCCTACAATACCCGCATACTAAAAGATATTCCATACTGTACTACCTTACGCATCATGACTTTATAAAAACATGCTAAATGCTCAACACAAGTTTTATTTTCAATACACAACCTTTTGTGTCAATTGTCGTTGAGTTTTAGCCAAGTCAACTTCCTTCCTTATCAGCTCTTGTCTGAGTGTCTGCTTCTCCCTCTCAGTTTCCTGGTCCTACAATACCCGCATACTAAAAGATATTCCAATACTGTACTACCTTACGCATCATGACTTTATAAAAACATGCTAAATGCTCAACACAAGTTTTATTTTCAATACACAACCTTTTGTATCAACTGTTGCCGAGTTTCAGCCAAGTCAACTTCCTTTCTTGTCAGCTCTTGTCTGAGTGTCTGCTTCTCCCTCTCAGTTTCCTGGTCCTACAATACCCGCATACTAAAAGATATTCCATACTGTACTACCTTACGCATCATGACTTTATAAAAACATGCTAAATGCTCAACACAAGTTTTATTTTCAATACACAACCTTTTGTATCAACTGTTGCCGAGTTTCAGCCAAGTCAACTTCCTTTCTTTTCAGCTCTTGTCTGTGTGTCTGCTTCTCCCTCTCACTTTCCTCATCCTACAACAGTCAACATGGTGAAATATATTCCCTAAGTCTGCTATACACTGTGCTCTATACCTTCCGAGCAATCTCCCTGTCCCTGTCTGTGAGCTCTTGTCGGAGTGTCTGCATTTCCCTCTCAGTTGCTTGCAAATGTTCTTCCTGCAATTAAAAAACACACAACACTTGACTGTGCCACTAAAATTATCGTCTCTAAGGCTCACTTTACGTCTCAATTGCTGCTGTGTTGCAGCTAACTCCGTCTGCACACGTGACTGGAGATGAGCATTCTCTGTCACCAGGTCTCGGAGAACACGCTCCAAATTCTGGTAGAATCACAAGAGTTTTTGTCAACACATCAACTCATACCTAATGAGTGTCCTCACCTGGTTCCTGGGCTGGGTCTGAAGAGTTCGTACCAGTTCACGTTTGTTCCTCTCACTCCCTTCATCTTTAACACCAGCTCTGGCCTCCTCCAACAGACGCAGCACCTCACAAATACCTGGCCTCTTGGCTGGGAGATTGTGCAGGCATTGCTGGATCAGACGAATGAGAGGGTGGTCCCCACGGAGCTGGCCACAGGCACCGAGTTGCTCGTTTACATATCGCATGTATTCAGCGCGTCGTTGTAGTTCAGTGCGACCTAACAGAACTCCACTCTTTTCGTCAAAGTAGGTGTGCTGTAGAGGATCACAGGGGAAGACTTCACCGATTGTGAAAATGGTGACAACTCCAAGAGAGAAGACATCGATACTGGCATCGTATTTCGACTTTTGGGCATTCGATTTAGCAGGAGCACTGGCTTCTGGAGGCATGTAGACTGAGGCCCCAGGTCCCTTTGTCATGGTGGCTGCAGCTCTCACGCGAGGAACGATACGAGCCACGCCCAGGTCCGCTATCTTGGCCACCATCTCCGAGTCCAGGAGAACGTTTCTGGCCGATAAGTCGCGGTGGATGACGGGCGGCGATCGCTCGTGGAGGTAGGCTAGGCCACACGCTACGTTGTGCAGTGCGGAGCACTTGAGATCCATGGAGAAGAAAGATATCGGTGTGACGGCGCCGGACGGAGGGGGCGGGTCCGGAGCCAGCAAGTCGTGAAGACTCGTCAGCAGTCGCTCCATGACGAGGGCTGGCAGTCGCGAGCCGGGAAAGAAAGCGACGCCCAGAAACTGGACGATGTTCGGGTGGCGGAGGGTTCTCAAAAGCTGACATTCCCTCACGAACTCGGTCACGGCCTTAGGCAGTCCGGCGGTCGTTGCATCCCCTTCTTGCAAGATGGGGTAGATTGTTTTGGCGGCGGCGCCCACAGGAACGACCACCTCCTCCACTTTGCCGTAGGCTCCGCCGCCGATTCTGGTGCCAGTGAGCTGGACGGCTGTGAGAACGAAGGGCCTCAGCTCCGGATGATCGCAGAGAAACCCTTCAGCCATGTTTTTAGACAATACGAGCCCCACCCAATATGCTCTATTGCGCAATCGCCAGCGTCGTATATATATGCACGCAGACGCACAGCGGAGTTTGGAGAAAATTGGTAGCGGAGCGTATTACGGGGGCGCATCTTACAGTATTGTGCATTAGATTGAAAATGAAATGAGCACTAATTGGAACAAAGAAAGTTAGTGAGTAGATGCTTTTCTCATTAGCATATGCCTACACACAGCATGCAGTAGAAAGAAGAGCACTCTTACTCTTACACTTGACTCAAATGGTGAAAACATCTGAAAAAGGACCCTCCGAAAAAAGGACACTTTGTTCTGCCCCTATATTAAATGTATTGCAGAACCTGAGTAAGGGACACCTCTCTACAAAGGACACTCTGTTCTGCCCCTATATTAAATGTATTACAGAACATGAGTAAGGGACACCTCTCTACACAGGACACTCTGTTCTGCCCCTATATTTAATGTATTACAGAACCTGAGTAAGGGACACCTCTCTACAAAGGACACTTTGTTCTGCCCCTATATTTAATGTATTACAGAACCTGAGTAAGGGGACACCTCTCTACAAAGGACACTTTGTTTCTGCCCCTATATAAATGTATGCAGAACCTGAGTAGGACCCTCTCTACAAAGGACACTCTGTTCTGCCTATATTAATGTATTACAGAACATGATAAGGGACACCCTCTACAAAGGACACTTGTTCTCCCTATATTATGTATTACAAAACCTGAGTAAGGGACACTCTCTACAAAGGACACTCTGTTCTGCCCCTATATTAAATGTATTACAGAACATGATGGTAAGGGACACCTCTCTACAAAGACACGTTTGTTCTGCGTATATTTAAATGTATACAGACCTGAGTACGGGACACCTCTCTACCAAGGACACTTTGTTCTGCCCCTATATTAAATGTATTACAGAACCTGAGTAAGGGACACCTCTCGACAAGGCACTTTGTTCTGCCCCTATATTTAATGTATTACAGACAGAACCTGAGTAAGGGACACCTCGCTACAAAGGACACTTGGTCAGCCCCTATATTTAATGTATTGCAGAGACCTGAGTAGCGATGCTACTGTAAAGGTGTGCGGTCAGATGGGAGGATCTGTTGTGTTATGGACCAGACTAAAAGGTAGTAGAACATCTGAGTAAGGGACATCTCTAAATAAGGCAAAGGCTGAGTTTTCAAGGTGTCCCGTATTATCTGTAGAAGAGGACAAACCCATTAGTATGAATAGCAAACATTATCCAGTAACTTTTCTCTCCCTCTCTAACTCTTCCACTCACCGTCTGAACTTGTGACCTCTCTGGCGCTGACGATGGTACTGATGTGTTTCTTCCTTCTCTCCCATTGCGGCCAGCTCATCAGCGAGACAGAGATGATCAGCTGATTTCCTCTTGAGTGGATAAGGTGGTGTTCCTCCTTTTGATGCAGCATGTATTGTTAACCCTCTATAGACCAGTTTTCACAGATGAGCAACAGCACGAGCAGCCTATCAAACTGCTAAGCTACCAAGGTGGGGGAATGACGTGTGTTTTTGTCCTGATTATGTCTGGATCTTGTCGTGCAGGCAGTGAAAGTGGAAATTGAAGCCATTGCTATTGTCGGGGACGTGCAGCATATGTGAACATTAACCTAGTATGGCACTTAGCTGTGAAAAACTCTACTACTTTAACCAGGCCAGGCTACGTGTGCAACATAAGTTATGGCAAAAGTTCACTGTAATTATAGAATATCTTAGTCCGAGTTGTGATTGATCATAACCCATTGGAAGCCATGGATATCTGCTTAAATAAGCAGAAATTGATGTATAGTGTATTAGCACCTAGTATTATAACCCCCATATTGTATTCTCATGTTTGAGTTAATTTTTGGCTCACACTGGTGTAGGGGTCGATTGGAGCTTGAACTCTTTAGTAAGCAAAAAGTATATAGTCTTTGGTATTTCCATTGAGCGTTTTTTGTGATTGACCATTGATTTTGCTCACACTGTGCGGGTGTTGGGTAGACGAATGGGAATTTAACCCTTTGGTGCTCTGAAGAGTGCGCCAGAGACAGTGTACTCAACATGTATCATTCAGTGGATGAGCGTGTTGATAGAGAATAATTATAGTTACAACATGAAATACAATTAACAATGCTTATTATATGCTACTAGACGATAGTGCATACATAACATGAAACATGATATAATAAGGAATTGTGGTTTTATCTAGAAATTGTGTTAAAGGGAGAGCAACAGTAGTAAGACAAACAGTAATATTGTAGCAAAATGTCTTTGTTCAGACAATACAGTAGCATTGGGTGTTTAATATCGAACTCTTTTGTTAACAAAGTCACATACATGTATAAAACCATCAACACAAGAGGTGATACAGAATGGATCACGAAACTCTCCCTCTTCCTTACCATACCTTCCAAATGAGGTGACAAACTGACCTGAGGTCTCATACACTACAATACAATCACCATTGAAATCAGACACATACACATACTTGTCAACAATATGAAGACTTGATGGCCAACAATCTTTTCGCTCTCCTTCCTGACGAAATACTCGTATGAATTGGCCACTGGTGTCCATTACTTGCACTCTCCCATTACCAAACTCAGCTACATACATGTTCCCGGCAGTGTCAAATTTGACATCATATGGTGCATCGAATTCACCTCTTCCTTTGCCACATGAGCCGATGGATCGGACAAAGTTCAAGTCGGGGTCAAACACCTGAATGCGATGGTTATTGCCATCACACACATACACTTGATTGTCATACAGTGTCACTCCACGTGGATCATCAAACTCCCCCTCCTTTCTGCCCCTCAGACCAATACATTTGATCAGTTCACCCCTGCCAGTGAACTTCTGCAGCTTGTGGTTACTGCTCACATAAATATTGTCAGTATCATCAGTTGCTATGCCTGCAGGGTATTTCATCTGATCTGGACTGTCACCACCTGATCCAAATGTTCGAATTTTCTGTCCTCTGATGTCAAAGATAGACACTCTATGACCCAAATATTCACTGACAATCATCTCCTGATGACTGTTGAAGGCAATGCCATATGGAGAGTTCAATCCAGTCACAGTCCTCACTGGGTGGCCTAGTTGTCTGGGGTCAGGGTACACGGTCACAGTGAAGGGGCTGCCATTGATTTCTCTGTCGTTGACTTGAACATGGAGTTTGTGTTGGCCTCGACTGACTGGTGTGTACGACACCTTGTATTGGGAGGGAGACGTCATGGCAACTACTGATACACGTGATTCATTGCGTGTTTCTTGTTTTTTGGACCAAGGCCATCTTGGTCTAGTGGGTGTGGCTTCAGGTTGATTTGTGGGTGTGGCTTTTGAAATGAGCTCAAGTTGTGCGGTGACATTCAGTGGAAGTGAGTGTGGTCTACCACTAGAGTCAGTTAGTTGGACTAGGACGTGTGTTAGTTGGTTGACTGTGGCTGATGTTAGACCAGGTCCACTGACCTGACATGTGTAGGACGCTGACTGCTGGGACAGGAGAAAGGGAGAGAGAAATGAAAGGGAGAATTGGGGAATGATATGGTGGTCATTAATAAGAGTAAACACACCAAAATTTAGCTTCGGATATTCCTAAAGATATTCATAGTCTGTGATTATGAGTCAATATTCATAGCGTACCTTTTCCCCCAGTTGCTGCTGAAGCAGAGCTATCTCCCTGTCCTTGGCCTGCACCAACTCAGTATCCTGCAGTCAGGAGGACCTCTAGTCACAACACACAACTCCACACACTAGACTAACTCTCTGTCTCATCTCCTGAATCTGCTGCTGCTCTCTCCTGATAGTCTCCTCTGCCCTCGTCACCTCTGCTTCCTTTCTCGTCAGCTCTTCTTCCTGAAGTGACCAAGAGGGAGAATTTTACACAAACTAATGCAAAAAAACGTCCACCTTTCTTGCCAACTGTTGTTGGACTCTCTGTTTTTCTCTCTCACTTGTTTGTAACTGTTCCTCCTGCAGAAAAGGCAATCGCATCACTCACTTTCCTCATCCTACAACTGTCAACACATAGTGAAATATGAATTTGCTATACACTGTGCTCTATACCTTCCGAGCAATCTCCCTGTCTTTGGCCTGCACACGGGATTGGAGATGAGCATTCTCTGTCACCAGGTCTCGGAGAACACGCTCCAAATTCTGGTAGAATCACAAGAGTTTTTGTCAACACATCAACTCATACCTAATGAGTGTGCAGTCCCTCACCTGGTTCCTGGGCTGGGTCTGAAGAGCTCGTACCAGTTCACGTTTGTTCCTCTCACTCCCTTCATCTCTAACGCCAGCTCTGGCCTCCTCCAGCAGACGCAGCACCTCATGAATACCTGGCCTCTTGGCTGGGAGATTGTGCAGGCATTGCTGGATCAGCCGAATGAGAGGGTGGTCCCCACGGAGCTGGCCACAGGCACGGAGTTGCTCATTTACGTTTCGCATGTATTCAGCGCGTCGCTGTAGTTCAGTGCGACCTAACAGCACTCCACTTTTCTCGTCAAAGTAGTTGTGCTCTAGAGGATCACAGGGGAAGACTTCACCGATTGCGAAAATGGTGACAACTCCAAGAGAGAACACATCGATACTGGCATCGTATTTTGACTTTTGGGCATTCGATTTAGCAGGAGCACTGGCTTCTGGAGGCATGTAGACTGAGGCCCCAGGTCCCTTTGTCATGGTGGCTGCAGCTCTCACACGAGGAACGATACGAGCCACGCCCAGGTCCGCTATCTTGGCCACCATCTCTGAGTCTAGGAGAACGTTTCTGGCCGATAAGTCGCGGTGGATGACGGGCGGCGACCGCTCGTGGAGGTATGCTAGGCCACACGCTACGTTGTACAGTACGGAGCACTTGAGAGCCATGGAGAAGAAAGATAGCGGTGTGACGGCGCCGGACGGAGGGGGCGTGTCCGGAGCCAGCAAGTCGTGAAGACTCGTCAGCAGTCGCTCCATGACGAGGGCTGGCAGTCGCGAGCCGGGAAAGAAAGCGACGCCCAGAAACTGGACGATGTTCGGGTGGCGGAGGGTGCTCATAAGTTGGCATTCCCTCACGAACTCGGTCACGGCCTTAGGCAGTTCGTCCGTCGTTGCATCCCCTTCTTGCAAGATGGGGTAGATTGTTTTGGCGGCGGCGCCCACAGGAACGACCACTCCTTCTACTTTGCCGTAGGCTCCGCCGCCGATTCTGGTTCCAGTGAGCTGGACGTTGGAGAGAACGAAGGGCCTCAGCCCCGGATGGTCGCGGAGAAACTCTTCAGCCATGTTTTTAGACAATACGAGCCCCACCCAATTTGCTCTATTGCGCATGCGCCAGCGTTGTACAAACAGACGAAGGCACACATATATCTGCACAGCAGTGATGACCACCATCGGAGTTTGGAGAAAATGTATGGCGGAGCGTATTACGGGGTATTGTGCATTTGGTTGAAAATGAACATGAGCACTAATTGGAACAGAGAAAGTTAGTGAGTAGATGCTTTTCTCTTTCGTTTTGGGCCAGTCTCACTCCCTGCCTTCCCTCCTCCCGACTTCTTCTCTCTCTTCTTCAGACCATCGATGTTGGCCTTCAGAACATTAGCATATGCCTACACACAGTATATAGTAGAAAGAAGAGCACTCTTACTCTTACACTTGACTCAAATGGTGAAAACATCTGAAAAAGGACCCTCCGAAAAAAGGACACTTTGTTCTGCCCCTATATTAAATGTATTGCAGAACCTGAGTAAGGGACACCTCTCTACAAAGGACACTTTGTTCTGCCCCTATATTTAATGTATTACAGAACCTGAGTAAGGGACACCTCTCTACAAAGGACACTTTGTTCTGCCTCTATATTTAATGTATTACAGAACCTGAGTAAGGGACACCTCTCTACAAAGGACACTCTGCTCTGCCCCTATATTTAATGTATTACAGAACCTGAGTAAGGGACACCTCTCTACAAAGGACACTCTGTTCTGCCCCTATAGTTAATGTATTACGAACCTGAGAAAGGGACACCTCTCTACAAAGGACACTTTGTTCTGCCCATATAATGTTTAAGTACCTGAGAGGGAACCTGCGTAAGGCATGTTCAGCCCCTCTCTGCAAGGACCTAGCTATGGTTGACCTATGAGCTGTACTGTAATGTATTCAGAACCTGAGTAAAGGGACACCTCTCTACAAAGGACACTTTGTTCTGCCCCTATATTTAATGTATTACAGAACCTGAGTAAGGACACTCTCTACACAGGACACTCTGTTCGTCGCCCCTATATTAAATGTATTGCAGAACCTGAGTAAGGACACCTCTCTACAAAGGACACTCTGTTCTGCCCCTATATTAAATGTATTACAGAACCTGAGTAAGGGACACCTCTCTACAAAGGACACTCTGTTCTGCCCCTATATTAATGTATTACAGAACCTGAGTAAGGGACACCTCTCTACAAAGGACACTCTGTTCTGCCCCTATATTTAATGTATTACAGAACCTGAGTAAGGGACACCTCTCTACAAAGGACACTCTGTTCTGCCCCTATATTTAATGTATACAGAACATGAGTAAGGGACACCTCTCTCACAAAGGACACTCTGTTCTGCCCCTATATTTAATGTATTACAGAACCTGAGTAAGGGACACCTCTCTACAAAGGACACTCTGTTCTGCCCCTATATTTAATGTATTAACAGAACCTGAGTAAGGGACACCTCTCTACAAAGGGACACTCTGTTCTGCCCCTATATTTAATGTATTACAGAACACTGAGTAAGGGACACCTCTCTACAAAGGACACTCTGTTCTGCCCCTATATTTAATGTATTACAGAACCTGAGTAAGGGACACCTCTCTACAAAGGACACTCTGTTCTGCCCCTATATTTAATGTATTACAGAACCTGAGTAAGGGACACCTCTCTACAAAGGACACTCTGTTCTGCCCCTATATTTAATGTATTACAGAACCTGAGTAAGGGACACCTCTCTACAAAGGACACTTGTTCTGCCCCTATATTTAATGTATTACAGAACCTGAGTAAGGGACACCTCTCTACAAAGGACACTTTGTTCTGCCCCTATATTTAATGTATTACAGAACCTGAGTAAGGGACACCTCTCTACAAAGGACACTTTGTTCTGCCCCTATATTTAATGTATTACAGAACCTGAGTAAGGACACCTCTCTACAAAGGACACTCTGTTCTGCCCCTATATTTAATGTATTACAGAACCTGAGTAAGGGACACCTCTCTACAAAGGACACTCTGTTCTGCCCCTATATTAATGTATTACAGAACCTGAGTAAGGGACACCTCTCTACAAAGGACACTCTGTTCTGCCCCTATATTTAATGTATTACAGAACCTGAGTAAGGGACACCTCTCTACAAAGGACACTCTGTTCTGCCCCTATATTAAATGTATTACAGAACCTGAGTAAGGGACACCTCTCTACAAAGGACACTCTGTTCTGCCCCTATATTAATGTATTACAGAACCTGAGTAAGGGACACCTCTCTACAAAGGACCCTCTGTTCTGCCCCTATATTTATGTATTACAGAACCGGAGTAAGGGACACCTCTCTACAAAGGACACTTGTTCTGCCCCTATATTTAATGTATTACAAACCTGAGTAAGGGACACCTCTCTACAAAGGACACTCTGTTCTGCCCCTATATTTAATGTATTACAGAACCTGAGTAAGGGACACCTCTCTACAAAGGACACTCTGTTCTGCCCCTATATTTAATGTATTACAGAACCTGAGTAAGGGACACCTCTCTACAAACGGACACTCTGTTCTGCCCCTATATTAATGTATTACAGACCTGAGTAAAGGACACCTCTCTACAAAGGACACTTTGTTCTGCCCCTATATTTAATGTATTACAGAACCTGAGTAAGGGACACCTCTCTACAAAGGACACTCTGTTCTGCCCCTATATTTAATGTATTACAGAACCTGAGTAAGGGACACCTCTCTACAAAGGACACTCTGTTCTGCCCCTATATTTAAATGTATTGCAGAACCTGAGTAAGGGACACCTCTCTACAAAGGACACTCTGTTCAGCCCCTATATTAAATGTATTACAGAACCTGAGTAAGGGACACCTCTCTACAAAGGACACTCTGTTCAGCCCCTATATTTAATGTATTACAGAACCTGAGTAAGGGACACCTCTCACAAGGACACTCTGTTCTGCCCCTATATTAATGTATTACAGAACCTGAGTAAGGGACAACCGTCTCTGTTCTGCCCCTATATTTAATGTATTGCAGAACCTGAGTAAGCCGATGCTACTGCAAAGGCGTATTGGTTTCAGATGGAGAGTTTGGTTGTTATGGGACCAGACTAAAAGGTAGAACCTCTGAGTAAGGGACATCTCTAAATAAAGGAAAAGTCTGATGTTTTCAAGGTGTCCCTTATTCTTGTAGAAGAGGACAAACTCATTAGTATGAATAGCAAACATTTCCAGTAACTTTCTCCCTCTCTTCCGCTCACCATCTGGAACTTGGTCACCTCTCTGGCGCTGACGACGGTATATACTGATGTGTTTCTTCCCATTGCCAGCTCTCAGGAGACAGAGATGATCATCTGCTGGGCTCTTCCCCCCTCCACTACCTTTTCAAACAGAACAAGATAGTAGTACAGACACCTCTGAACAAGGGACACCTTGGGGACATTGAAAGTGTCCTTTTCAAAGACAAGACAAGCATATCTTCACCATTAAACAAACCCTTTTTGGGAAGTTTGCAATTTTTTTGAAGCGAACTGTGTCTCAAAATTAGCATTAAAATATCTTTCGCAACTCAAAAAATAGAGGATTCGCAAATCACCAGAGTTTCTGGATAATTACCCTCGGCGCGCATGCGCAGCGAGGGTACAGTACTTGGGTCTGTCTGTCCGTCTGTTTGTCTGTTTGTCTGTTAGTCTACATCTCACTCCTCGAACGTCTTTTCGTCCCAGAAACGATACCCTCTACCCAACGGGCGACGAAGGTCAGAAAATAAAGACGGTTTTCTCTGAAAATGCTCCGTTGCAAAGCTAGAGCACGAAAAAGCCAATATGCAAATACGCAACGGACGGGATGGGTCTGATCGATCAGCGTGCTCTGCGACCTCGGAGGCACCAGAAGATGCAACGCAGGGCGTGTATCGCCTCTCGCATTCTGTCTAGTAGTGTAGTTAGCCCGCGTCAGACTCCGCGAGATGGCTAGAGACCAGGAGTAACAGCCAGAACTAAACCCGGCCCATCAATTAGTGATACAGCGCATGCGTTTACTCACGCGTGTGCGTCACAATGCGCCGAGGGTTTGCACTTCAGTGCTTTTCATTACAGTAGCAATCGTGAAACCTCTGCAGACGATGGAGTTCCCGTCAGGAGATACGGAAGAGCAGACAAGACAGGCTCTCACTAACATGGGAGCCATCCTGGAAGAAGCCGGATCCTCCTTCAAGAATGGTGTCTCCCTCTCCCTCCCTCCCTCCCTCCCTCCCTCTCTCTCTATCTCTCACTCACTCACTCACTCATGTATCACAGTAGTCTGCCCATTCAGTAAGTACATGTCACAGTCGAATAATAAGAAAAAACCTCTCAATAAAAGACATACTTCAAGTTGAGGTCCCAAACGTTGCACTTTCCTATCATTCTAGTACATTTTTACTCCCCAAAGAGACAATCTCCCTAAAAAGGCTGTGTCCATCTTTCAGAAGGTAGCAGGTATAATTGTAGCTTCACACTTTGTTAGCATTTCATAGCTCCAGAGCCAACAGCGAATGCATTCAGTCGGCATATGATATTTCATTAATATTCTTGCAGTGGTGAAGGTGACAGTGTTACTGGACGATATAAACGACTTCACTCGCGTCAATGATGTCTACAAGACTTGTATGTAACAAACTTCCTTTATTCATTTGTTGCGATGCTTTTTCGAATTTTTTTATTGCACATTATTTGTTAACCCTCTATCCAGTTTTCACTGACAAGCAACCAGCAAGAGCAGCCTATCAAGTTGCTAATCTACCAAAGGTGGGGGAAATGACGAGTGTTTTTATCCCGATTATGTCTGGATCTTGTCATGCAGGCAGCGAAAGTGGAAATTGAAGCCATTGCTATTGTCGGGGAAGTTCAGGATATGTGAACATTAAGCTAGCTGTGAAAAAATCTACATCAAAACTTTAGGCTACATTATTATTGTATCCAACGTTTTTTAAGTTTATGCAAAAGTTCACTACAATTATATCATAATAGTCCCCAGTTGTGATTGACCATTAAAACCCTTTGGAAGCCATGGGTATTTGCTTAAATAAGCCAAAAATTATGTATAAAGTATTAGCGCCTAGTATTATAACCTCCATACAAATTCTTATGGACTTATGAAGGCTCTGGACACATTTGTGTCTGTGGCTGGTTGAGAGTGTTTTTTGCTCACAATGTGCTGGTGTGGTGTAGTGATTGGAGTTTGACCTCTTTGTTGACCTCTGAAGAATGCACCAGAGACAGTGTACTACAGAGCCGAGTTTCTCTGCACGGAAGCTTGCCACACCCCCACCGAAGATGCCATTTTCGGCGGGTGTCTCCGTGGAAACACACACTTGGAAAATAGAATCCACGGTTTACGCAATCTGATTGGTCAATTTGAATCTGCCGACGTCTATATTATTGGCGAGCGGGAGCGAAGATGCCCTTATTGGCGGGTGTCTCTGTGGAAACACACTTGGAAATAGATCAACATTTTACACGCAACTCTGATTGGTCAATTTGAATCTGCTGATTCTATATTATAATGTATCATTCAGTGTATGAGTGTTGTGTGATATAGCAAATAATAAAGTTAGAACATGAATACAATGGTATGCTACAATCACGATAGTTTGATACACTACATGAAACATGGATATAAGGAATTGGTGGTTATTAAAATGTGTCTGAAGACGTGTTTAAGGAGAGGCAACAAGTGGTAGGAAAAGGGGTGTGGTCTAGAGTTTGACTGTTATGATAAATGTATGCATTGGGTGTTCTAGAATATCTGAACTCTGCTGTTATCACAGTCACATACGTGTATAAAACCATCGACACAAGAGGTGATACAGAATGGACCACGAAACTCTCCCTCATTCTGACCACACCTTCCAAATGAGGTGACAAACTGACCTGAGGTCTCATACACTACAATACAATGACCACTCAATTCAGACACATACACATACTTGTTAACAATATGAAGACCTGATGGCGCACGCAGTTTTCCCTCTCCTTCCTGACCAAATACTCGTATGAATTGGCCACTGGTGTCCATTACTTGCACTCTCTCATTATCCCACTCAGCTACATACATGTTCCCGGCAGTGTCAAATTTGACATCATCTGGTGCATCTAATTCACCTCTTCCTTTGCCACGTGAGCCAATGGATCGGACAAAGTTCAAGTCGAGGTCAAACACCTGAATGCGATGGTTATAATGATCACACACATACACTTGATTGTCATACAGTGTCACTCCACGTGGATCATCAAACTCCCCCTCCTTACTGCCCCTCCGACCAATGCATTTGATCAGTTCACCACTGCCAGTGAACTTCTGCAGCTTGTTCAGACTGCTCACATAAATATTGTCAGTATCATCAGTTGCTATGCCTTTAGGGTATTTCATCTGATCTGGACTGTCACCATGTGATCCAAATGTTCCGATTTTCTGTCTTCTGATGTCAAAGATAGACGATCTATGACCCGCACATTCACTGACAATCATTTCCTGATGACTGTTGAAGGCAATGCCATATGGAGTGCTCAAGCCAGTCACAGTCCTCACTGGGTAGCCTAGTTGTCTGGGGTCAAGGTACACGGTCACAGTGAAGGGGCTGCCATTGATTTCCCTGTCGTTGACTTGAACATGGAGTTTGTGTTGGCCTCGACTGACTGGTGTGTACGACACCTCGTATTGGGAGAGAGACGTCATGGCAACCGATACCTGGGGGGGAGGATTTTTAGACCGCGGCCATCTGTTAGTGGGTGTGGCTTCGGGTTGATTTGTGGGTGTGGCTTTTGAAATGAGCTCAAGTTGTGCGGTGACATTCATTGGAAGTGAGTATGGTCTACCACTAGAGTCAGTTAGTTGGACTAGGACGTGTGTTGGTTGGTTGACTGTGGCTGATGTTAGACCAGGTCCACTGACCTGACATGTGTAGGACGCTGACTGCTGGGACAGAGAGAAAGGGAGAGAGAAATGAAAGGGAGAAATGGGGAATAATAATTAACCCTCGGCGCGCATGTGCAGCGAGGGTTACGGTAGTTGGTTTGTCTGTCTGTCTGTGTGTGTGTGTGTGTTGATGCTTATTCTGGAGCTACAGGCTACGAGGCGGCCCATTAGCGATACCAGCGGCTTCAGTACTACACGAGCCTGAAAAATAAAAGGGCGATTTTCCTGAAACGACTGCGTTCGAGAGCGACAAACTGGCACAGTCGTGGACCGCGTTGCGTGGCCCAACCCATCAATAAGCTGTGCGCATGCGTATACCAGCCGCGATCAACGTGTGACCTCGATCTTAGAGGCCACCACGAAGGTGCGTGTATCGACTCCCGAATGCTATCTAATACCGTAGCTAGCCCGTGTCAGATTATCCGCGGCCTACTAGCGGGAGACCACGGGTAAACGCTAATAGCTGGCCTAGCCCATTAGCGTACGTAGTTCGCCGAGGGTTTGCACTTTAGTGCTTTTCATTATGGTGGTGATTAATAAGAGTATTCACACATACCACTAGTAGTACAGACATTCCTAAAGATATTCATAGTCTGTGATTATGAGTTAATATTCATAGCCTACCTTTTCCTCCAGTTGCTGCTGAAGCAGAGCTATCTCCCTGTCCTTGGCCTGCACTAACTCAGTCTCCTGCAGTCAGGAGGACCTCTAGTCACAACACACAACTCCACACACTAGACTAACTCTCTGTCTCATCTCCTGAATCTGCTGCTCCTTTCCCCCCAGTTGCTGCTGCTCTCTCCTGATAGTCTCCTCTGCCCTCGTCACCTCTGCCTCCTAATGTCATGAAAAAAGGGATAAAATGCTGTCAAGGTAGCTGCAGTTGAAAAATAGCTGAAAAATTATTAACCTTTCTTGTCAACAGCTGTTGGACTCTCTGTTTCTCCCTTTCACTTGTTTGAAGCTGATCTTCCTGCAGTCAAAATGACAGACCATGACATCATCACAACGCAAAAAGAAAAACTCCACACCCACCTTCTGTCTCAAATGCCGCTGAGCCTCATTTAGGTCAGCCTCTCTCCTTGTAAGCCGTTCAATGACAGACTGCTTCTCCCTTTCCTAAAAACATAGGATACTGTAACTTGCACGTTGTTTCGGCGTATATACTCTCACCTTCTCTCGCAGTTGCTGAAGTGTTTCAGCTAGCTCCCTGTCCTTGTCTGTCACCAGGTCTCGGAGAACACGCTCCAAATTCTGGTAGAATCAGAAGAGTTTTTGTCAACATTATCAACTCATACCCAATGACCCTCACCTGGTTCCTGGGCTGGGTCTGAAGAGCTCGTACCAGTTCACGTTTGTTCCTCTCACTCCCTTCATCTCTAAAACCAGCTCTGGCCTCGTCCAACAGACGAAGCACCTCACGAATACCTGGCCTCTTGGCTGGGAGATTGTGCAGGCATTGCTGGATCAGCCGAATGAGAGGGTGGTCCCCACGGAGCTGGCCACAGGCACGGAGTTGCTCGTTTACGTTTCGCATGTAATGGCTGCGTCGCTGTAGTTCAGTGCGACCTAACAGCACTCCACTCTTTTCGTCAAAGTAGTTGTGCTCTAGAGGATCACAGGGGAAGACTTCACCGATTGCGAAAATGGTGACAACTCCAAGCGAGAACACATCGATGCTGGCATCGTATTTTGACTTTTCTATATTAGATCGAGTTGGTGCAAAAGCCTCTGGAGGCATGTAGACTGAGGCCCCAGGCCCCTTTGTCATGGTAGCTGCAGCTCTGACATGAGGAACGATACGAGCCACGCCCAGGTCCGCTATCTTGGCCACCATCTCCGAGTCCAGGAGAACGTTTCTGGCCGACAAGTCGCGGTGGATGACGGGCGATGATCGCTCGTTGAGGTAGGCTAGGCCACAGGCTACGTTGTGCAGTACGGAGCACTTGAGAGCCATGGAGAAGAAAGATAGCGGTGTGACGGCGCCGGACGGAGGGTGCGGGTCCGGAGCCAGCAAATCGTGAAGACTTGTCAGCAGTCGTTCCATGACGAGGGCTGGCAGTCGCGAGCCGGGAAAGAAAGCGACGCCCAGAAACTGGACGATGTTCGGGTGGCGGAGGGTGCTCATAAGCTGGCATTCCCTCACGAACTGGGTCGCTGCCTTAGGCAGTCCGGCGGTCGTTGCATCCCCTTCTTGCAAGATGGGGTAGATTGTTTTGGCGGCGGCGCCCACAGGAACGACCACCTCCTCCACTTTGCCGTAGGCTCCGCCGCCGATTCTGGTTCCAGTCAGCTGGACGGCGGTGAGAACGAAAGGCCTCAGCCCTGGATAATCGCGGAGAAACTCTTCAGCCATAATTATTATTAGACAATACGAGCCCCACCCAATTTGCTCTATTGCGCATGCGCCAGCGTTGTACACACGCGGACGACGAAGGCACACATCTGCACACAGCAGTGATGGCCACCGGCGGAGTTTGGAGAAAATGGTTGGCGGGGCGTATTACGGGGCGCATCTTACAGTATTGTGGATTATGTTTAGAACATGAGCACTAATTGGAGCAGGAAAAGTTAGTGAGTGGATGCTTTTCTCTTTCGTTTTGGTCCAGTCTCACTCCCTCCCTTCCCTCCTCCCGACTTCTTCTCTCTCTTCTTCAGACCATCGATGTTGGCCTTCAGCACATTAGCATATGCCTACACACAGCATATAGTAGAAAGAAGAGCACTCTTACTCTTACACTATGACTCAAATGGTGAAAGGACCCTCTGAAAAAAGGACACCTCTCTACACAGGACACTCTGTTCTGCCCCTATATTAAATGTATTACAGAACCTGAGTAAGGGACACCTCTCTACAAAGGACACTCTGTTCTGCCCCTATATTTAATGTATTACAGAACCTGAGTAAGGGACACCTCTCTACAAAGGACACTTTGTTCTGCCCCTATATTAAATGTATTACAGAACCTGAGTAAGGGACACCTCTCTACAAAGGACACTCTGTTCTGCCCCTATATTAATGTATTACAGAACCTGAGTAAGGGACACCTCTCTACAAAGGACACTTTGTTCTGCCCCTATATTTAATGTATTACAGAACCTGAGTAAGGGACACCTCTCTACAAAGGACACTCTGTTCTGCCCCTATATTAAATGTATTACAGAACCTGAGTAAGGGACACCTCTCTACAAAGGACACTCTGTTCTGCCCCTATATTTAATGTATTACAGAACCTGAGTAAGGGACACCTCTCTACACAGGACACTCTGTTCTGCCCCTATATTTAATGTATTACAGAACCTGAGTAAGGGACACCTCTCTACAAAGGACACTCTGTTCAGCCCCTATATTAAATGTATTACAGAACCTGAGTAAGGGACACCTCTCTACAAAGGACACTCTGTTCAGCCCCTATATTAAATGTATTACAGAACCTGAGTAAGCCGATGCTATATACTGCAAAGGCGTACGGGCTTCGGATGGAGAGTTCGGTTGTTATGGGACCAGACTAAAAGATAGAACCTCTGAGTAAGGGACACCTGTAAATAAAGGAAAAGTCTGATGTTTTCAAGGTGTCCCTCCCTCATTCTTGTAGAAGAGGACAAATCCCATTAGTATGAATAGCAAACATTTCCAGTTACTTTCTCTCCCTCTCTTCCACTCACCATCTGAAACTTGGTGACCTCTCTGGCGCTGACGATGGTACTGATGTGTTTCTTCCCATTGCCAGCTCTTAGGAGACAGAGATGCTCATCCGATTATTCCTCTTCGAGTGGATAAGGTGTCCCTTATTCTTGTAGAAGAGGACAACAATGACGTCTACAAAACATGTTCGTAACACTTTCCATTATTCATTTGTTGCGATTCTGTATAGCTTTTTCCTTTTTTATTGCACATTATTTGTTAACCCTCTATCCTGTTTTCACTGACAAGCAACCAGCAAGAGCAGCCTATCAAGCTGCTAAGCTACCAAAGGTGGGGAAAATGACGTGTGTTTTTATCCTGATTATGTCTGGATCTTGTCATGCAGGCAGCGAAAGTGGAAATTGAAGCCATTGCTATTGTCGGGGAAGTGCAGGACATGTGAACATTAACCTATGCACTTAGCTGTGAAAAAGTCTACATCAAAACTTTAACCAACGTTTTTAAGTTTATGCAGAAGAATATCTTAGTCGTGATTGACCATTCAAACCCTTTGGACGCCATGGGTATCTGCTTAAATAAGCAGAAATTGATGTATAAAGTATAGCGCCTAGTATTATAACCCCCATATAAATTCTTATGGACTTATGAAGCTCTGGACACATTTATGTGTCAGTGGCTGGTTAAGTGTTAATTTTTGCTCACACTGTGCTGGTGTGGTGTAGCGATTGGAGCTTGACCTCTTTGTTGACCTCTGAAGAATGCGCCAGAGACAGTGTACTACAGAGCCGAGTTTCTCTGCACGGAAGCTTGCCACACCCCCACCGAAGATGCCATTTTTGGCGGGTGTCTCCGTGGAAACACACACTTGGAAAATAGAATCCACGGTTTACGCAATCTGATTGGTCAATTTGAATCTGCCGACGTCTATATTATAATGTATCATTCAGTGGATGAGTGTTGATAGAGAAATAATGTTACAAACATGAAGTACAATCATTATATGCTACATAGACGATAGTGCTTACAATTACATGACACACGTGATAAGGAATTGTGGTTTTATAAGAAATTGTGTTAAAGGAGAGCAACAATAATATTATACAAAATATCTTGGTTCAGACAATACAGTAGCATTGGGTGTTCTAAAATATCTGAACTCTGTCGTTAACAAAGTCACATACATGTATAAAACCATCAGCACAAGAGGTGATACAGAATGGTCTACAAAACTCTCCCTCTTTCTTACCGTACCTTCCAAATGAGGTGACAAACTGACCTGAGGTCTCATACACTACAATACAATCACCATCATAATCAGACACATACACATATTTGTCAACAAGATGAAGACCTGATGGCCGACGCAGTTTCCCCTCACCAAATGCTCGTATGAAATGGCCACTGGCGTCCATTACTTGCACTCTCCTATTAACCCACTCAGCTACATACATGTTCCCGGCAGTGTCAAATTTGACATCATATGGTGCATCGAATTCACCTCTTCCTTTGCCATGTGAGCCAATGGATCGGACAAAGTTCAAGTCGAGGTCAAACACCTGAATGCGATGGTTATTGCGATCACACACATACACTTGATTGTCATACAGTGTTACTCCACGTGGATCATTAAACTCCCCCTCCTTACTGCCCCTCCGACCAATACATTTGATCAGTTCACCACTGCTAGTGAACTTCTGCAGCTTGTGCTGACTGCTCACATAAATATTGTCAGTATCATCAGTTGCTATGCCTGCAGGGTATTCCATCTGATCTGGACTGTCACCACGTGATCCAAATGTTCGGATTTTCTGTCCTCTGATGTCAAAGATAGACAATCTATGACCCCACATTCACTGACAATCATCTCCTGATGACTGTTGAAGGCAATGCCATATGGATGGTTCAATCCAGTCACAGTCCTCACTGGGTGGCCTAGTTGTCTGGGGTCAGGGTACACGGTCACAGTGAAGGGGCTGCCATTGATTTCTCTGTCGTTGACTTGAACATGGAGTTTGTGTTGGCCTCGACTGACTGGTGTGTACGACACCTCGTATTGGGAGGGAGACGTCATGGCAACCAATACCTGTTTTTCTGGCTGTTTCTTTGACCAAGGCCACCATGATATAGTGGGTGTGGCTTCAGGTTGCTTTGTGGCTTTTGAAACGAGCTCAAGTTGTGCGGTGACGTTCAGTGGAAGTGAGTATGGTCTACCACTAGAGTCAGTTAGTTGGACTAGGACGTGTGTTGGTTGGTTGACTGTGGCTGATGTTAGACCAGGTCCACTGACCTGACATGTGTAGGATGCTGACTGCTGGGACAGGAGAAAGGGAGAGAGAAATGAAAGGGAGAAATGGGGAATAATATGGTGGTGATTAATAAGAGTATACACACATACCACTAGTAGTACTACGGACATTCCTAAAGATATTCATAGTCTGTGATTATGAGTTAGTATTCATAGCATACCTTTTCCCCCAGTTGCTGCTGAAGCAGAGCTATCTCCCTGTCCTTGGCCTGCACTAACTCAGTCTCCTGCAGTCAGGAGGACCTCTAGTCACAACACACAACTCCACACACTAGACTAACTCTCTGTCTCATCTCCTGAATCTGCTGCTGCTCTCTCCTGATAGTCTCCTCTGCCCTCGTCACCTCTGCCTCCTTTCTCGTCAGCTCTGCCTCCTGCAGAAACCAAGAGGGAGAGCAAAGGCAAATCTCAAACCACTGTGCTATGGCACAGTATACTCTCACTCAGTATGTAGGAGCAGACTGGGGTAACTAAACCACCAAAGATGCCCAACTCCAAACTAAAGTATACACATGCAAGCATCACGACTTCATAAAAACACTCAGTTGATTCTGCTGAATGCTAAACACAATATAACAGAATGGACCTTTTGTGTCAATTGTTGCTGAGTTTCAGCCAAGTCAACTTCCTTTCTTGTCACCTCTGCCTCCTTCCTTGTCAGCTCTTGTCTGAGTGTCTGCTTCTCCCTCTCACTTTCCTCATCCTACAACAGTCAACATAGTGAAATATATTCCCTAAGTCTGCTATATACACTGTGCTCTATACCTTCCAAGCAATCTCCCTGTCCCTGTCTGTGAGCTCCCTGTCTTTGGCCTGCACACGGGACTGGAGATGAGCATTCTCTGTCACCAGGTCTCGGAGAACACGCTCCAAATTCTGGTAGAATCACAAGAGTTTTTGTCAACACATCAACTCATACCTAATGAGTGTACAGTCCCTCACCTGGTTCCTGGGCTGGGTCTGAAGAGCTCGTACCAGTTCACGTTTGTTCCTCTCACTCCCTTCATCTCTAAAACCAGCTATGGCCTCGTCCAACAGACGAAGCACCTCACCAATACCTGGCCTCTTGGCTGGGAGATTGTGCAGGCATTGCTGGATCAGCCGAATGAGAGGGTGGTCCCCACGGAGCTGGCCACAGGCACGGAGTTGCTCGTTTACGTTTCGCATGTAATGGCTGCGTCGCTGTAGTTCAGTGCGACCTAACAGCACTCCACTCTTTTCGTCAAAGTAGTTGTGCTCTAGAGGATCACAGGGGAAGACTTCACCGATTGCGAAAATGGTGACAACTCCAAGCGAGAATACATCGATGCTGGCATCGTATTTTGACTTTTCTATATTAGATCGAGATGGTGCAAAAGCCTCTGGAGGCATGTAGACTGAGGCCCCAGGCCCCTTTGTCATGGTAGCTGCAGCTCTGACATGAGGAACGATACGAGCCACGCCCAGGTCCGCTATCTTGGCCACCATCTCCGAGTCCAGGAGAACGTTTCTGGCCGACAAGTCGCGGTGGATGACGGGCGATGATCGCTCGTGGAGGTAGGCTAGGCCACAGGCTACGTTGTGTAGTACGGAGCACTTGAGAGCCATGGAGAAGAAAGATAGCGGTGTGACGGCGCCGGACGGAGGGGACGGGTCCGGAGCCAGCAAGTCGTGAAGACTCGTCAGCAGTCGCTCCATGACGAGGGCTGGCAGTCGCGAGCCGGGAAAGAAAGCGACGCCCAGAAACTGGACGATGTTCGGGTGGCGGAGGGTGCTCATAAGCTGGCATTCCCTCACGAACTGGGTCGCTGCCTTAGGCAGTCCGGCGGTCGTTGCATCCCCTTCTTGCAAGATGGGGTAGATTGTTTTGGCGGCGGCGCCCACAGGAACGACCACCTCCTCCACTTTGCCGTAGGCTCCGCCGCCGATTCTGGTTCCAGTGAGCTGGACGTCGGAGAGAACGAAGGGCCTCAGCCCTGGATGGTCGCGGAGAAACTCTTCAGCCATGTTTTTAGACAATACCAGCCCCACCCAATTTGCTCTATTGCGCATGCGCCAGCGTTGTACACACGCACGCGGACGACGAAGGCACACATCTGCATGCACAGTAGTGATGGCCACCGGCGGAGTTTGGAGAAAATGGTGGCGGGGCGTATTACGGGGCGCATCTTACAGTATTGTGGATTATGTTTAAAATGAACATGAGCACTAATTGGAGCAAAGAAAGTTAGTGAGTAGATGCTTTTCTCCTTCGTTTTGGGCCAGTCTCACTCCCTCCCTTCCCTCCTCCCATCTTCTTCTCTCTCTACACAGACACTCTGTTCTGCCCCTATATTTAATGTATTACAGAACCTGAGTAAGGGACACCTCTCTACAAAAGACACTTTGTTCTGCCCTATATTAATGATTACAGAACTGAGTAAGGACATCTCTCTACAAAGGACACTATGTTCTGCCCCTATATTAAATGTATTACAGAACCTGAGTAAGGGACACCTCTCTACAAAGGACACTCTGTTCTGCCCCTATATTAAATGTATTACAGAAACCTGAGTAAGCTGATGCTACTGCAAAGGCGTACGGGTTTCAGATGGAGAGTTCTGTTGTTATGGGACCAGACTAAAAGGTAGAACCTCTGAGTAAGGGACACCTGTAAATAAAGGACAAGTCTGATGTTTTCAAGGTGTCCCTTATTCTTGTAGAAGAGGACAAACTCCATTAGTATGGATAGCAAACATTTCCAGTAACTTTCTCTCCCTCTCTTCCCCTCACCATCTGAAACTTGGTCACCTCTCTGGCGCTGACAACGGTACTGATGTGTTTCTTCCCATTGCCAGCTCTCAGGAGACAGAGATGCTCATCTGATTATTCCTCTTTGAGTGGATAAGGTGTCCCTTATTCTTGTAGAAGAGGACAACAATGACGTCTACAAAACATGTACATAACACATTTCCATTATTCATTTGTTGTGATGCTAGCCTTTTCCTTTTTTATTGCACATTATTTGTTAACCCTCTATCCAGTTTTCACTGACAAGCAACCAGCAAGAGCAGCCTATGAAGTTGCTAAGCTACCAAAGGTGGGGAAATGACGTGTGTTTTTATTCTGATCTAAACCCTTTGGAAGCCATGGGTATCTGCTTAGATAAGCAGAAATTGATGTATAGTGTATTAGCACCTAGTATTATACCCCCCATATTGTATTCTCATGGACTTTTGAAGGCTCTGGGCACATTATTTTATGTGTCCGTGGCTGGTTAAGAGTTAATTTTTGCTTACACTGTGCTGGTGTAGCGATTGGAGCTTGAACTCTTTGGTAAAGGAATTGTTACGCAAAAGTAGTCTTTGGTATTTCCCATTGAGCGCTTTTTGTGATTGACCATTGATTTTGCTCACACTGTACTGTACGTGTGTTGGGTAGGTAATGGGATTTTAACTCTTTGGTGGCCTCTGAAGAGTGTGCCAGAGGCAGTGTACTCAACAATGTATCATTCAGTACCCTCGCTGCGCATGCACGCCGAGGGTTAATAAAACTACAAACATGAAGTACAATTATTAAACAACGCTTATTGTGCTAATATACATAGACAATAGTGCTTACAATTACATGGAACAAGCGAATTGTGGCTTTATAAGGAATTGTGTTAAAGGAGAGCAACAGTAGTAAGACTATATAACAACAATAATATACAAAAGGTCTTGGTTAAGAAAATACAGTAGCATTGGGTGTTCTAAAATATCTGAACTCTGTTGTTACGATA